ATCGAAGTGGGAGACCCAGCATAGTGACCGCCGAACTTCTCGAAAAAGTCGATGCTAAAGTCCGTGAAAATCGAAATTTCACAATAACGGAACTTTCTTTGAGTTTTCCACAAATTTCGCGAAGTTTGTTTCAGAGCACGAAATCATCAGCGAAAAGCTTGGTTACCACAAGTTTTGTGCAAGATGGAAGGCAAGAAGAGGTAACGAAGTGGTTGAAGGCGCAGGCGGCCGAATTTTTCGACGAAGGAATTTCCAAGCTCGTACATCGCTACGATAAATGCCTTAATTTGTATGGTGACTATGTAGAAAAGTAGTATTTGAGTGTGGCTTTCATCTGTATATAATAAAATTTGTTTCCTATACTTTGTTTATTTTTTTATTCCAAAACGTAATCTACTTTCTGGATAGCCCTCGTATTTCCGTGAATAGAAGGGATTATGTACCAATGCTGATATTCAAAGAACTTATTCCTATGAAGCATTTTAGCCAATTCAATTTTGAGTGAAAAGCAGTTTCTGCAGTGAATTTCGAAAAAACTCGAGTAACCGTCCCCCGACACCCTCGTGTTTATGCATTTGAGTTCAATACTATTTGTAGAAATTAAACATTGGAAATTGTCATTATGAAATAGAATTCAAAGTATAAAGTTGAAATAAACATTAGAAGATTATAAAATATAAGATAAATAATGCAAACTTTGTAAAAACAAATAAAAAATAATATAAAATTAAAAAATATAATTTGAAAAGTGAATGTACATGAAGATATAAAGGCCAGAAAAAGTATTAATTAACTTACGTTCTTTCTAGGTCGCGTCTGACTCAGAAGTGTAGTATTTCCGAAAAATTCTTAGCGGCAGTGGGGGCTTTGAATAATATCAGTCGGTAAGACTTGGGTGAAGTAATTTATGGTAGTGGGTGGGACTCGGAATTCCTGAGGGATGTATTCTGTGGAGTTCTTATTTGAGTGAAACCGTATGTTAAAATTTTTTTGAAAATACTAGTGAATGGAAATTAATTAATTTCTGGCTAATTGCCGTGTCGAAACGATTAAGAATTTAAGAAAGGAAAAAATAATTTTTACTGTCAAAGAGCTATTTGACAGACTAAAGATTAGGAAATAGGTCCATTTTTTTAGTAACAGCATAAGTCTGAAGACAATTAGCTTTTTACAATATATACAACTGAGTAATTACATTATATACAAATCCTTCAACTGATAGTCATCCAACTTATACCGCCTTCTCAGGTTTAGGAACAAATTATCATATCCCTATCAGTTAAATGATTTAGAGTGAGTATTTAACGCCTGCTCTTTTAAGGCAATGGTTAATAAATTGAATGGGTATTAGATTATTTTTGAGAATTTTAATAAGAAGCAAAATTTCGCGTTGTAAATCTATTGTATCTGTGGAGATAATTTTAATTCGTTGTATTTGATTTATTATTGTATTGTTAATTATTTATTATTGTATTGTATTGTTAAAATGCTTCATAGGAATAAGTTCTTTGAGTATCAGCATTGGTTCATAATCCCTTCTATTCACGGAAATATTTGGTCTGATTTGAATTGCCGGTTTGGCTTAGCCTTTAATGTTCGAGTAAAGGACGAAACACCTTCGTATTTATTTATTAATTATTGTTCATTGAACAGGAGTTGGTTTGTTCCCCTTGAAAAGTCAACTAATTTCCGATCAATGACAGTGATTTTCTTGACAGTAATTCTTGCCTTTAATTTATTCCTTTTACAATTTAAATTTTATTCTTCATGCTGATTTAATTCCAGTCCTCTTTAAAACATTATTAACTTTAAACTTTTTACTTTCAAGTTACTTCAAAACATCTTTCAAAATGTAACTTACTAGTATGGATTCACTCTTTTAAGATAATTATACTTTAATTATACTTAGGAGATAATATAATCAATTAATCAATATTATTTAGTAAATAAATTATTATTAACTTACTTTTGTAGCAATTGCGCAAGTAGTAGTAACTTGTTTTCGCACTAAATGAGTTTAAGATCATACAATATATATATATATATATATAGATATACTCTTAAGAATGTCGTCATTAAAGCAGTAACAAATGATACAAAAAGACGAATCTGCACATGTATATATATATATATATAATTCATTTTTCTAGTAGATTATTTAATTATTATTTCCTTTGAAAAATTTATATAAAAATATATTCTTGGTACTGCCGATTGGAACAGAAAAAGGGAGGTGCTAGATCTTAACTAGATATTATAGCAAGCCTATATACAAAATTTCAGCGTTCTACAGGTAATCGGTTTTGAGTTATGCGAGATATATACGTAACGAACGTACAAACAGACGTCATGAAAAAGTTCATTTTTAATCCATTTTGGAGACGAAAGTTCTTTATTCTATTCCTACGTACAGACATCACGGAAAAAAAAAAAAAAAAAAAAAAAAAAAAAAAAAAAAAAAAAAAAAAAAAAAAAAAAAAAAACACGTCCAAATCGATTTGGGAACGGTCAAAATGGGTATTTCCGTTGATCCGAAATTTTTCGTTATTAGAATACTTTCTTTATTTCGTATAAGGAAGTAAAAATTAAAAAAAAAAAGTTACGATATTTGATGATAAACTTTTGCTCAGTTTTTCCCTCCGGTAATGAAATTTGCATAGTTTATTGTTACTTTCTTGTTTACTGTTTTTATTTTCATACTTTTATGATTATTTTGCCTACTTAACCCTAACATCCTCCGCAATTTCTTTTCCTCCAGTACTAAAATTTTACGTTGTTTTATCGCTACTCGCATGCCAATACTGTACTATAATGTATTTTTATTGCTCGCACGTGTATTTGTTTAATGTTCGACTTCCGGTATTCTCTTCTCTTTCCATTTTGGAGTTCTTGCCAAAGCCCCGAGATGCTTATGCGAGTCGCTGAAGAAAACTGCAGGAACAGGCCTAAAATTTCCTGCATTTCGTGGATTCTAAAATAAAAAATAAAATTTAAAAAAAAAGTCTGAAAGCTTTTAAATTTTATATTACGCCCAAAGGTTTTTTTTAACGTTTTGTGTGTTACTTATTTTATGTGTGTTATTTATTAAATATCATGTTCTTCGCACTTAAACCATGAAATTCAATTCAACAGCAATATAACAAAATATTTAAAAGAGCGTATCTTAAGAATTTCCGATACACAATCTCGAGCGCTGGAAATAAAAATATATATCTCTATTTCCCTATAGTGTTGCCATTGTTCCCTTCGAAATCGTTGAGTTTCTTAATCAAAAATTCATAAACGCTTTACAAAATATGAAATAGATAATAAAACAAATTCCAAATTTGGGCTTCCAGATGCCCATATTCGAGTGGACGACTACGTTATACGTTATTCAGAATTGGATGGCTCTAGGTACCGTTGTTTTATCCCAACACTAGAAACATACATACAGTTATGCAGATTCTTCATTATTTAATTTCTTTAAATATAATGCAGGGCTCTAATATTTGGTGGCAACAATTTAAAAAAGTAATTCGCCGTTTATGGTGAATCAACGCAAAATGCCGAAACGAAATTAATAGCCCTCCTGGGCATATTGCCCCTTTGTTCTAATAATGAAACATTTCTTAAGAAATGCTTATTGGCGAAAATTATAGCGATACGTAAGTCTGAATGAAGAAGAAAACGCTCGAGGATAAAAACTGCAAAAAGTCTTAACAGCTTTCAATTCAACTTTACGTGAACATTTTTCATTGGCATAGTAGTTAACTGATCGCGTTTTCGAATGGGATCTTTTTATGGAAAGGAGACAAAAATATAAAAAGAGCTATTTAGTACTTCCTAGAGCTTTGTGTATTATACACACATAATTTGATAAAAAAGGGGGCGGAGAGGAAACAGGTTCGATAACAGTTTACCCGAACTTGATTTATTAATATTTTTACTGAATTGCTTTACATTATTAAATCTAACTTGCATAGTTGATTTAACCTTCTCTGTCAATCTATATTTATCGTTTCGATTGGAATCACTCTAACTCTGCATGAACGGTCGAAACTGCTTCGAACTCATCATTTTGTATGATTTAATAGTGTCATTTTCTACTGTATTGTTACCTACAGATACTGAATTTTCGGGGTACCTAACTATAGCCGAAAACGCGAAATTGCCATAATTTTAAAAGAAATCTGAACAGATCAAACCAGTTTTCATCGTAAGGTGTATAGTAGTTTGGATATCACTTTAGATCAGAGGTTAGTCAACCTTTTTATGCCTACAGCGCGCTTTGTAGGTAGTAAAATTTCCTCACCGCCCACCGGTCTGAGCTATAGATCCCATTGTAACCTTACACGTTTAACTTACGAAGCTTCCACATTAAATAGACTTACCCCTGTAATCTTGTTTTCTTCCGGCGAAGTTTTACGTTCTTGAGGTCTTTCATGGTACATTATACAAGTGATACTACAATTTACATATAATTTCACTAAAATTATTTACATATATACAAAATTCATAACATCATCATGTTATCAAAACTTGAGATACGTAAATAATTATTTCCAGAAAAAAATATGATGGAATAAATTTATGAATGTAATTTTAAGCTTCGTTCAGACAGTGGTATAAATGTCATAGAGGCATAATCATAAGGCATAAAATGCGAGAGTTCCGTTCACACCTGCGAGACAAAGTCTAAGTCGAAGCCAATTAGAGAAGCTAAATTTTGCGCATGCTTGGATGTGTCTACAGCTTTACCGTTCTGTTTTCTCGCCCAATAGATTTCGCGCGTTCGCTTTGATTGGTCGACTTTTGTACCAAATCGGCATAAGGTGGAAGATTTCGAACTTTATGCCAAACCATTAAACCAGTTTTTTGTGGCGTAGCAAGGTCTGGTTGCCTAGCAACGAAGCTCTTTAAGCCAGTTATGACATTTATACCACTGTCTGAACGGAGCCTTAAATGATCTGATTACATACGATATTTGCAATTTTTAAAGTCTGTCTCTTGCCTTTCAGGAAAAAAGTTCCGATGTTCCTGGTCCAAATGATTACGGTTCTCCTAAAAATCCGGATATCTGTCGGCCGGACAGTGCATCACATTCCGGTAAGTTATTAATATTTATTATGTTTTTTAAAACACCGACAAAAGCTGTATTATGTTTTTTAAAACACCGATAAAAGCTGTATTCTTCATTAATTATTAAAGGGTAATAATTTTTATCGTGGAGAAAGGGAAGGGCTTTAGGATATAGGCTAAGAATTTCACGTTTGACAATTTACACTCTCAGTTCCACCGCAATTAAATTTTACCGGCTGATAATTCATGCTAGCGTGTTTCTCCTCCTGAGGGGGGAAGAAAGGGTAGTAATAATAGAAAATCCTATATTTTAAAATGCGTACTTGCATTTACAGTTCATTCATTTCTAACAGTATTATTGTTGTGATTACTTGAGATTAAGGTTTCATCTAATTGTAGTCCGACCCGGCTACGAATCCTGGCGAATGGCCTTTTCTTGGTTTTTCCATATGTGAGTTTTCCCTTAAAAAAATCCTCCACGACAGCATCCCTCCCCATAGGGCAGTTAGCCTTCGAGTTCTTTTGCCTTAACCAATTAACCTAACAGTCTAAATAGAGTGCATTTGCCTTACACTGCTAATAATGGATTCATTTTAAAGGTACGTTTGTTATGGAGTTTAAATCATGAAAAAAAAAAACCACTCATCTTCAGTGGCGTGCATGGAAGCTAGAATCTTTAGGAGTAACAAAGTTTCTAATTTTAGAGTAGGATTAGTTTCCAGTACATTTTTCGCGGAAATTATCTCAAAAGGAAACGCAACAAAGATTTTTTATAATTTCATGAATATATTTGATAATCTCTGAATAACTTTGATACTGAGAAATCCCAACGGATTTTTTTTTTTTTTAAATTCACTTCGCAGTAATGTTATAGTTTTAATCATGATTAAAATTTAGAATTTGATTTTTTATTTTAATGTCGAAAAAAAAAAAAAAAAAAGCGACATTAAAATAATTGCTTAAAAATATTTCTTTTCTCTGAGCCTGAAAATCTTAAATTCCAATAAGGTTATAAACAATTAGGAAATTGCTTCGTGCAAATATCGCTAAGAACTCTTTCTGTTCTCGCAACATATCAGACGGTATCTAGTAATCGTCATAGTTATGGAAATATTGTCATAAGAATACATTCTAACCAGACCTGAAAGATTTTTTCGCTTTTTAATACCAGTGTAAATATCACCAATGAAAATTTCATGCTTTTGCGCATTAAATATTCTTGTGTTTCATCCCAGAATTTAATTTTTTAGTCATATATTTGATATACACATAAATAAAATCAAATATATACAATATATTCGATTTATGTATTTTTTTTTATCTTACATATTATTACGAAATGCCCAGCTGCGGTAGGTAAGATAGCTTTCCCTCAAAGCGGAGTTAGGGTTGCCAGAGAGTGGCAAGGAAAAGCATGGTTGCCAGGTTTAGGGCGAAATCGCCCATTTGGCGAGAAACTTGGTGATATGCCATAGAAAGTGCGAGAACATTTTAGAAAGAATTCTTACCGGTTTTCCGAAGAATGTTCTCTAAGGTAGTTCAAAAGCTATATCAAAGAATATGTATGAACTCTCCAGATTGTTTGTCCTAAATATTTTATTTTGCTGTTGATATCAAGAATCAAGGAAATGTATTGCACCTTTTTATTCTTTTCAAAACTTTTTGAATGTTGACTCCTCTCTCAAAATTTATTCCTGGCCCTTTTTAAACTCGAAATTTAATTTAAAGACTTTCTAAGAGTTTTCCTTTTTTCTCATGCGGAAGGCATTATCTGAAAAGCTTTTATTTTTATAATTAGGCTTCAAAATTTTCCTTATTAGATGAACCCCTCTTTTGATGTAATTATTTTATCTCTGATGATGTGGAGTTAAAGGCCTAGCCCTAGCGCACTCCGTAAATTAACTTCCTTGATCCTTGATCCTTGAATATGTATGGTTAAGAAGGAAAACTTCTTCTCAACAGGGGTGTCTCCGTCCCAACATAGAGGGAAACAGCTGCGCATGCGCGAAATATCTATGTCCAAACCACCAAATCTCGAAGCCGGCGTCAAATTTCGAAGGTCACGTTTATCAAGAGTTCATAAAACGAATATCATTTTTAATTTCTTTAAAAGGAAAAGGAAATATTTTTTCGCGTATGTAAATTAATTAATGGATTAGTTATTTTGAACCAAAAAAAGTACGAAAATCCGAGTTTAAATTATCGTAAAAAGTCAAAGAAGAAACTTTTTATCAATGAACGTTTCTTCTCAACACGTGCTCCTCAATTTCCTGACTCATCGCAGAGGGGAAAATACTCGCCGCCAAGTTCTGTCGCCAAATCCTTGGCGAATTTTCCCTCCGCTTTTTAGAGGCGTAATAGCAAACTGGTTTACATTACGTCTATAGAACCTTTCTTTCTTTACATAGGTTCTTTGGCTATATATATATATATATATACCTTGCCTGTACGCGGAGTAAGGGAGTGAGGAGAGTATGAGTTTAGTTGGAGAGTAGTAGAGTTCGGAGATTAGCTTGAGTGTGGCCGAACCGAGTCGGGAGCTGTACTTTAGTGCTTCGCCGTGAAGCGGTCTTCACCTTTATAGCCTGATAGCCTGAAGGCTGTTTTGCTGATTGTTTCAGCGTGTTTGTCTTAGTTTCTCGACGAATGTAACGCGTCTTTGGTGCTGTCCTGTGTTATACTGACGGACAAATTGTGTTTTGATGCTTCATCAAGTGTTGTCATCAATCACTCCAAATATACGAAGCAACAATATATATTGGTCCAACCAACGAACAATTCATGAAGGACTGTAAGTGAGAAAGCAGCTGCATTATATCGTTGTTCGAAACCAGTTGGATTTCAGCCTAAAATTATTTTAGTTTTGGTAGATATAAGCCATGGGATAACATCCTAAATTATATTCGCAAGATGGCTTAAATATTTGCAGTATTCGAAGCATATAGCTCTGAACATCAAAAGGTCCACTTACGTTTGCTTAATCTCAGGTAAAGTCTGTCATAGACATTCACGGAAGGAATTCCTTTAATACCCGAAGGGATCTTAGATTTTCGCTGTTCATTTCTAACAGTCTGCAGTAAACAAAATGCTGTGTTACACTAACAGGAAGTCTGAAAGTAGTTCTAAGTCATGTAAAAGTAAAGTAAAATAAATCAGTAAAAGGAAATAAACATAGAACATCAAAACTTTTGAATTTTGTTATCAAAGTGGCTTAAACAGGTAAACTATACACAACTTAACTTAGACTGCTTAACTGTAAACTGCTTAATTGCGACTTAAATAGGTAAACGGAATACGCAGCCCTTTAGAACATTGATAAGAAATGATGTACCTTATTTCGCTGGCTGAGATTTATTAATTTTCTTCAAGTTGTGCATATATATATATATATAAATTTCCCCTGAAGAGCCTTAAGGAGATTTGAATTGGGCTAATCTATCATTTGCCGCTTCTTTGCTTTTGCATTTTTGCTCAAGTCATTTGTCGCACTTTAATTCTAATATTTAAAATATGCCTTACTTTGATCAGCGTATTGCTTACAATCAGTATTGAATTTTATTTGTAAATATTCAAGTGTTTATATTGTTTATTTAATCTTTATTACACATTTCATTGTACTTTATTTTACTTATGTTAATATTATCACGGAACCACAGTATCTAAGAAACTTTTTAGCGTACGAACTAAGAATTTTCTTTTAACTTTTTTCTAAATTTTGCAACTCATTGCGCAAAGTTTTTGACCACATAGGTCTTTTATCGTTTGTTCTCTTTTCTTTAATTATATATATATATATATATATCCTTGGCATTGCGGCACAAGTTGGAGAAAACTTTCAACTCTTACCCAGCAGACTATGTATCTAGAAACGGAGTTAGCGCCGTATCTTTGTATAATGACGAACTTTCGTTTCGGCAATTAAAGATATTTACTCCAATAGTATATGAAATATCTCACATTCTTTTTCTCTTTTACCATTAATATCTCAAAATGTTTTTAGATGTTTAATTTCTCAAAATGTTTAATTCTCAAAATGTTAAATGTTTAATTTTTTTAATACATCGTTCTAGATTTATTAAAGTATTTGAATAGAATGTGTGGCAACGATTAGATAATTTTTAAAATGATATAAATTTTGTGCAATCTGAGTTAAAAAATGAATGAAATTTAACACTGTTAAGCGAACTTAGGGCCAGGGTGTCGCTATGGTAAACAAATATAGTGTATTTTAAAGAGTGCATTTATTCTTTTGTGGTTTATGCGCTAATGACGAAATAAATTTAATTCAATCCAAATAGTTCAAATAAAATAATAAGTTCAAATAAAATTCAAGAAAAATGCGTATAATTTAATATTCCGTACAAGGAAGTAATGTGGTGCGCACATCAGATTTTTAATGTTATATGAAAAAACAGTAACAATCATAAATCCCTTTGAAAAACTTTCTTCAGCTTCTTTGAACCATGTTTTAAGATTTTTTTCTCCTCTTTGATGATAATAATGAATCTCACTTTATTGCAATTATTTAAATACATTCGTCTATTGTGACAACATTTTCCATTTTTGTTTGGATAAATGTTTCTCATAAAGGATTTTGCAGCGCGCTCTGCGTTCGGCGATATGTCGTAGAGAAAGATAACGCACATTATGTTTTTTCCCCCTTTTAAGATTCTAATTAGAATTAATCGCTTTGTTTACACTTGACAATGAACATTTTAATGATTTTGCTACTGTGCTTTGATTTGGCGGAGTTTCTTTTAACTTTAAAGATCTTAACTTTGCAAAATTCGCAACATTCCGTTTTTTCCTTGGACATGTATTTGGAATAATTTTTCCACTTGCATTTTATTCTCCACTTTGGCGTTTTTCCTGTCTTGTTGACAATATCACCTAACGTAACTTTAGGTATAGAAAAACTATGGCTTTCACAGTGTTTTGTAATAATTAGATACGAATAATTTTCTTCGGAAAGAACACAGACGTAGCCTTGCATTCATTGCTTCTTTAAAGCAGCCATTTTGTATGAA